AGGAATGGGTCTTAAAGCTTATTTGAAATAACACCTCTCCTCACAGCCTCACAACTGTGATTCGAGGATAAAGCGAGATGATAAATGTGGAAGGACTTTGAAGGCTGTTTGGAGCATGCTGCAAATACAAAGTTGCGCTGTTATCTCGGCATTTTATGAGACCAGAAATCAGTAGCCTTGTTGGAAGCAAATTTGAGTTGTGAATTTTTTAAGGGAGTATGTGATAATGGAAGATGGTTATTTAGGTGAAGCACAAAGCCATTCTATTTCTGTGTTTCGCCCCCTTCTTTCACAGCAATACGTCTGAAAATAGAGGTTTGTCTTGTTCTTTATCCCTCCAAAGAAAAGGCTGGCCTGAATTTGCACTTTAGACTGTTTCTTTGAGTGCCAAGAGATTGTTTCAGCAAAAGAAAGTAATCTGCAGATAGGTCTGCCCCTGCACAGTGCCCAGCATCGGGGGCAAGGCTTTAATTAAAATGGAAGAGTTGGTAATTTCTGGCCTATCTGGGAAGCTTAAAGTTGATGTGGTTTGAATGAAAGTAATGACTTTTGCTTAAAATGCAAATATTAATGCAAGAAGGAGCCTGGGCCTGACTCTCGGTGCAATTGAAAGAGACTGTAATTTCTTTTTCACATCTTCTTCCTCAAAGTAATGGTCCTTTTCCCTCCTGAAACTCGGTAATATATACATTTAATCTGTAAGGTGTTTTTTTTCCTCCTTTAAGTTCTTTTCAGTTGGCGGTTGGTCTGTGTTTTGAAACTCCCAAAAGCAGTGCAAGTTTTAAGTATTGACAAGTCTTTGAAAAAGTCATAAGTGTTTGTTGTTGCTCATGTGTATTTGGATGACATACCCAGTTTCAGGAGTACCTTTCTTCCAGGTCTTCTCAGTGTGGTTGTCAGGCCAGCATCTGCCACGCATCCCCATAGTCTCTGTTCATACACGGAAAGAGCAAGTGGCCAAGCTGTGAAAAGTAGGCATGTTCACCATGGCGTTCGTATGTGCCAATATGAAGTTTTCAAATTTGAAGCAACATGTCTTGCTCTTGGATTAAGGAGGCTCATCTAAATTACCAAGTTTGCAATGAATTGCAATGAAAAAAATTTGCATTTTGAATGTTGATAAGACGTTAAAAAAGATAAATGGAAATGTGGTCAATTATACCAATATATGTTAAAAGCGTTCCAGACCATTGATGCTTTTTACTAATTACAATCATCGTGAGTAAAATGTATACTTAATGAGGAATTACAATGGCTTGAGCATTGTGAAATTATTTTTTATATTAAAGGTAAATTTGTTATAGAATTAAAAAATGAAAACCGTCCATACTCCTTCTACTCTAAGTCATGCTTTTTTCCTTTTCACTTATGATTGATATACTTATAAATATTTATATAATTTAATCACAGTATACAAACAATTTTGAGTTTAGCATTTTTCCTTCACTATTCATTATGTGGAAAGCATTTTCTTCTGTTTCCAGCTGACATGAGGGCCTTCCATGGCTGCTTTAACCAATCTCCTATTGGTGAATACGTAGCTGTCTCCCATTTTTTTTTGGTCCTATTTAGATAGCGCTGCAAGCAATATCTTTGCTCGAAAGTAATTTTAATTTTTCTTAGGGAAGGGTCTTTTTTTGTTTTTGTTTTTCAGAATAAATTGAAAGGAGTGAGATTACCGTGCCAAATGTCAAGCAATTTGGGGTAGTTAAGGGGTTGGGAGGAACCAGTGGGAGGAAGACATGGTGTGTGACTCAGTGTGCCGTCTTGAGGAAGAGGGGCGTGTGTCAGGAAGCCAGGAGAGGACTCACCAGCAGCGCTCCACCCTATCTGTGCAGGCCCAGCGCTGAGGCAGGCCAGCTATCGAGCACCAAGGAGCATTCTGCTAGGAACCTCTTTCCTTTTGTCAACCAACATCATCTGGATGTGGTTTTGGGTTTGAATCAGATTAACTAGGAAGGTGACTCCACACGGCTCTCGCTGAGAAGTGGGCTGTCCTCAGGGCCTTTACTTCCCACTGAGTGCGGCTCGGCTCGTGGCAGGGAAGGCACGGGATCCAGCCCAGGCCGCCTGAAAAAAGCAGCTTGGCAAAAGGGATTTGGCTAAATGGTGCATTAGAACGCCTCCACCGTCCTTCCAGAAGCAGGTGGTGTTTGCCAAAGCGCGGCTTCTCTTCACCCCTCCACAAGGGCAGCGGCAGCATGTGTTGTGCAGTCAGTCCTTCCATCAAACCTGGGAGCTGGGGAAGCTGAAGGAGAAAAACAGGCATTTAATGAACTGTCGCTAATAAGCCTCAGATCCCAGCATCACTAGTCACTGATGGCTTCACAGCCGAGTTTATCACGTACTTCCCTGTTCTTTTCAGCTAACGAGTCCTTACTAGTTTTGTCAAACTGCAATTAAATAACCCAGTGAACTTTGCCTTTGCTGGAAGTAGTCTTTTTGAAAGAAATGTCGTGTTTTCGGGAAAGAGAAGAAAACCAACCGCAAAACAGACCGCATTATGAGATTTCCGGTTTTGCGATGATTTTATTCTCTGGGATCCAGGGCTTCGAGTGGATTGATGCTGCAGGAACTGTGAGAAGAAGTTCTTTTATGGTGACAAATGCAAAATTGAAAACCCACTTCAGCCGCATTTTGCTCACACTGTTAGCACTTCATCTTTTCGCCAGTTGCCCGTCTGCCGTGGGTTGCACCAGCCCAGGCTCTGTGGCCACCTTCAGCATCTTGCAGGGTTTTTTTTTCTTTTTTTAAAAGATTTTATTTTTTCCTTTTTCTCCCCAAAGCTCCCCGGTACATAGTTGTGTATTCTTCATTGTGGGTTCTTCTAGTTGTGGCATGTGGGACACTGCCTCAGCGTGGTCTGATGAGCAGTGCCATGTCCGCGCCCAGGATTCGAACTAACGAAACACTGGGCCGCCTGCAGCGGAGCGCGCGAACTTAACCACTCGGCCACGGGGCCAGCCCCCATCTTGCAGGTTTTTAAGTGTTCCTTTTCATGTTTTTGACTATAGCAGTATTCCTAATATTACCACTACTCCTTACCTCCAAAAAACCAACAAAACTGTAGAAAATGTAGACTGATTCTACTAGTCAACATATTTATATGCAGAAAGAGAAATGCCAGTCTGTGCTGTGACCTTCTCAAAGACACGCAGAAGCTGAAGAATAATGTTGAAATCATCTGACCACAGGTCCACATTGGTCTCTGTTTCTCTGTCCTACCAATCTTTCAGGCAAACAAGAGTGTGGATAAGCCTTGATTAAAACTCACTATGCAACTTAGAAATGGCTACAAATATAGTTCCAAATCATACTTTAGTACTTTTACATGTGTGCAATGTTTTTTATGTTCCATTAGTACTTTTAAACCCATTTAAAGGCCTTAAAAGTGTTCAAGGACTGTTAAAAGCACAGTCTTCTTGCTCTAGGCACAATAAAGGAACTGAAAAAGTGATAAATGAGGAAAACCAGACAGAAAGGATTTACAATGCATCCTGTAAACAAGATGCAACTTGCTGTGTGTGCTCTGAAAATCACTTTGCCTTTGTGGCTAACCCATGAGGGCAAACCATTGGCTAGAATCAGCTGGGAATAAAGGCAAAGTGAAATCAAGGCCCAGAAAAGAAAGAAATTATCTCTGAGAAAAGGAAGGGGATGGGGGCCTGGAATTAGGCAGCAGTGGGTTAAAGGAGAGTTCCCATTATAGAGACCTCAGTGGAACCAAAGTTGGGGACTGGTGTAGTCAGTAGCAAGAAATGCTTACATTGTGTGGATTGCAGTTTTTCATATGCAATGTCTCATTTGATTCTCATGGCAACCCCAATAAATATTATTATGTTCTTTTTGCATATGGAGAAAATGAGACTCATTTTGGCTATAAACCCAAATTGGAGTGAGTGACTTGTTCAATATTACACACTAGAAAGTGGTAAGGCCGGAACTGAGGTGCTGAACTTCTGACTATTTTATTATAGTGCTCTTTTCACTCTGCCGTCCCGCCTCGGGTAGCATCTGGGAAGTCAGAACTACAGTATTCTTTAAAGGTGAGGGGAGTTCGGGTGGGCTGTCAGCTGAACAACAGAGTAGAGGAAAGATGGAACTAGGAAGGGAGCAATTTCTCCACGCTGGGCGTGGATCAGTCAGGACAGGCAGAAATCCATAGTCCCGCTCATCCTGCAAGAGGTGGGGTTTTATTTGTTCAATGCCACCCGCCTGTTTGTATGTAGCTTGGGCTCTGATCAGCCCTCAGACTTGGATACAATATCTTTTGTTTGCTCATGATATCTGACTTTGGAAAATCCCTTTTGATAGCTTATTAAGGAGGCTCAGATATGGGAGAACCAGAGGAACAGACTTCTACTGGAGGCGCTGTGTGTGCCAGCTCCTCAGGGCAGGGCAGCAGGAGCGAGAGAGAAGGTAGGGGACCTGGCTCTCCACCACCTATGATCCTTATGTTATTCTCTTTGCAGACCTGTTCTTACTTTTGAGGACAGTTACATATATTGTTCATTTCAGGTTAAAAGATCCCAGTGGTTTTACCCTTCTTCATTAACTGTGTTTTCTTTTTTTTTTAAGATTTTATTTTTTCCTTTTTCTCCCCAAAGCCCCCCGGTACATAGTTGTGTATTCTTCGTTGTGGGTTCCTCTAGTTGTGGCATGTGGGACGCTGCCTCAGCGTGGTCTGACGAGCAGTGCCATGTCTGCGCCCAGGATTCGAACCGACGAAACACTGGGCCGCCTGCAGCGGAGTGCGCGAACTTAACCACTCGGCCATGGGGCCAGCCCCGATTAACTGTGTTTTCTAATCTTGAAATTATCTTGGCTTTATGACCTTGGGCAAGTCATTTACCCTATCGGAAACTTCATCCCATGTAACTCACAGGAGCGTGTGGAAATGTTTTCTAATGTGAGTACTTCTTGGCATTGGCAGTGGTTATGTTTCCAAGGATTTAAAATGCCTTCTCTTTCACGGTGTCTTCTCTGCTTTTCCTTCCCAGAGTCGAAAACATGCAAGCAAAGTCCGACTGTATTACATGCTTCACCCCAGGGACGGCGGGTGTCCTGCCAAGAGGCTCCGGTCAGAAAATGTGAGTATCTGCACCATGTGATATTCTTAGAGGATTTGTTCTATTTGCTAAGAATTTTGCAGGTCTAAGAATTGAGGTCACGTCCAGCTGAGTGGGAAAGCTAAGTGATTAGAAATAGTTCTCATCAAGTATTACAGAAAATGTTACGTGTAAACAAGTCTTCTTTTTCCTGCCAGAACTTGCCAGTCTAGTCTTGGAAGGCTTTTGGTGATGCCGCACTGGGACTGCGCAGAGAAAGACGGTACAGAGCGAGGTGGGTGAGGGGAGACAGGAGCCGTCAGAAGACAGAGAGCAGGGCAGACACGGCCTGAGGGGCAAACCTGTCAGAAATATCAGATCCTTTGCTTTTTACATATTTTACTTTTCCTTTGGTGTGTAAAACAGAATGCCAATTGATTCCTTTATAAGGAAGACTGTGCACATCTTGGAAATAAAAATACTCAGGGTTTTGGTCAGTGCCCCCTCTCCCTGAGGGAGCATTTACTTGGGAAGACAAATGATGATTAGAAAGGTGCTCAGAAGGTATAAAGTCAGAGCAAAGGGTTTACTTCAGCCAGGCCAAGGCAAAGACTGATGAAGTACGTGTTCCTGCCTCCCAGCAGGGGCTGCTTTTCCTAGTGAGTGGAATGTTCAGAGCCATCCATCGCAGAGGCCCCCAAGGTAAACACTGTGGGTCAGACACCGAATTTCCTCGCCTGTCGAGTTCCGAGGAGGCTGCAGGCATGGAATTCATACCCCACACTGCCACTTGTGCTTATGATCCTGTTTTCCTTCTGCTGCCATATAGATGTTGGTCTTCTTTTCTTATTAAAAATTAATATGTGATCATTGAATAAGCTTGACAAAAACTGTACTTGTGTATTCTTCACAGGTGAAAAAGAAAGAGCAAGTGAATAGCATGTGACCAAAGGCAGTGAGTGTCAGGGCTGGTGTTAATGAATTCCAAGCCAGGCCTCTTAGCATCCCAAAATAAGCTGTTAATAGGCAGACTAATCTGAAACAGTGTGGGGTTTTCTTTACTGCCTTGGTGAAGCAGGATTTAGAGCTTATTGGAGGCAAAAGATGTCACAAAAACGTTGCAAGCTGCCAAGGAGTGGGATTGAGACTAGCGCTGTTAGGTCTTAGCTCTATGACCTCGGGCAAATAATTGATCTCTCTGAGCCTCAGTTCCCTCAATGAGGCTGTAATCGTCAGACTTCCCTCAGTGCGCTTTGTGAATATGCAATGAAATGATAGGTAATGAGGTACACCGCTACATGCCAGAGACTGAGGAAACAGATAAATAAGACCCAGACTTGCTGTAAAGAAACTCATGGTATAGTGAGGGAGATTAATATTGTATAAAAAATAGTGATAATGTCACAGAGTAGGTGTTCATTAATATTCTGCACAAAGTCCCATGGGGACAAAGGGCAAGTGAGTCATACCAGGGCAATCCAGTCAGGGAAGGTGTTCCTCAAGAGTTGGCATTTGAGCTGGGGTCTTCGGGCTTGAAAGGACTGTACCAGATGGAGGCAGTGGGAGTGGGGAAGGGGGACAGGTGCATTCTTAGGTACATTAACATCAAAAGAACTTTTGAAGCCACAGGAGAGTCAGCCTAAGCCAGTTTTCGTGTCATCTCAGAATCCTGTAGCTACGCTGAAGTCATGCTTTCCATCAGGTATATTAACAGAGAGAACAGCATTAGCTTTTTTGCCTTCCCTGGAAATTATCCAGCAATGGTGCTGTATTCCTTCATTCAATGGCCATTTATTGTCTTACCTAATAGTCAGAAGCAATGGGGTTCATGGACACTTGACAATTGGCTCTTTGAATAGATTATTTTTCATCCGCTCAAGTACTAATCATGAATGTTGCACTTACTTATATCTGAGCTCCTAAGGAGGGCTCGATCGCGCGGGCGGAAACAGGGTGCTGGGCTCAGGCTGGTGTTACTTGAGGACATGGCCAGACCCATGATTCACCCCACTCAGGCTCTGGTTCTGCCAGAAACCTTGGGGTTTATGGAGGGGAAGATGTTTGGATTTTAGAGCAAGAAGTATTTGCAAGGATTCTTTACTAAAAACTCCTTTGAGAACGTTTTCCTCTGGTGTATCCTGGGTTTTGAACAGCTTGATCTACCAATGATTTATTTATTAAATCCTTTTTCTGTAATTTATTCATCATAGTATAAAAGTGAATCCATAAACAGGAAAAGCAACATAGTGATCTTACCTTTTTATAAGAGACGGTGGATGCTTTTATTAGGCTGTGTGTATTTTTCATAGGTGAATATGTCATTTCCATTAGGCATCTTGATGTACTGGATGCAGTGTGGAAGCCACCCTGTCCCTCTCCAGGGCTCTGAGTGTTGATGTGGGTAATTATTTGGACCAGCTTTCTTTCGTACAGACTCACACCTAAGGGTTGAGAGACTACATATATGAATGGACGATGGCCGGGTTATATATAAAAGTAGAACTTTGACTCACCATCTGCAGCAACCAGTTCAGAAAACCAACTCATCAACGTACAGTAACCAGCCCACGAAGCCTGCCAGCTGTCAGTCAGTCTTATGGGAAGTCACACCTCTATCTCTGGTAACAATCCAGGAAGCCAAACAATAACCTTGTAACAATAGGCCCCAAATGGCCAGGGCTTGATTAGTAGCTTATAGCTTCCCTAATTTTTGTCCCTGATTCCAACTTAGGACCAACCAGAAACAGCTAAATATGTACCCCTAACCAATCACATAGGATGGCCACTTCTCATTAGCCCACTGACAGCTCCCCCACACCAGCAGCCTCCAATCAGGGCACAACTGAAACCTTCCCCTTTTTCCCATTACAAAGCTTTCCCACTTCTCTGCCTGCTTTGAATCTCCTCCAAATACAGGTGATGTTGGCTGACTCCCTCGCTATAGCAAGCTCTAAATAAATAGCCTTTCTTGTTCTCATTTGGTTGGGCTTTGTTTATTTCCGCAGGGTTGGAAAATGAGGATCATAATAACGTCTAATGTACAGGTGTATCATAAGGCCCAATGAGGGTAACTCATGGATTTAGCCCTTTGTGTTCAAAGCACTTTCTACATGGGTTATTATCACTGATCCTCTCTCCACCAGCACCCTATGTGCTTGGAGAGATGTAACACTTTGTTCCACCTGCCTCTCTGTTCCTACCCATCCTCCCACCTGCCCTGCTTCCCGGGGCTGTGACAGGTTTGTGTCCCAGTGTGACCTGATTCAGAACAGTTTCGTGGTGCCCTGAATACCTAACACAGTGAGTGGCTTCTGAAAACAGAAACCTTATTACTGAGTTTCCACACCCTGACCCCACACGAGCCTTGGGCCCACGGTGATTCCTAACATTGATGGGCTGATGAGTCATGGCAGCCGTCCTTCCTTCCCTCTCTTTGGCCCTCTGGGAATACGTAGCGACTCCAAATTTACACAGTTGACCAGTAGTGCCTATTATCATTCCCAAGGTCCATTGCCATGTCTGTTCCACGTCATTTGACCTTTTTGTTGTTGTTTTTTAAATATTTAGATTCATTTCTGGTTTCTGTCCTGGCATTTCCAGCTTTTGAAGTTCCCGCTTCACACGCTGTACTCTTTAGCATCCCCGTTTGGATCTCCTATGTTTTTCCCCTGAAATTTTAGAGCACAGCACTTTCCCCTTGAGGCCACAGAGTGAAATTAAATGCAAAATAAATTGTCATGGCTGATTGCCTTAGAGAAATTTTCAGTAATCCCGTGAGCATTAGAGCCAAAAAGGACTTTAGAGACCATTCTAATCCATTGAGAGCCTCCGTGTTTCACCTGTGGCCCTTTTTATTATCTTCTCACCCACGGATCACATGCTTTGAAAAAAATTATTTGGGAAACAGCACTTTTAAGTAAAAAGTTGATTTAGTTTTACTTTTATTTTTATTCTGTAAAGATAAAGAACTGCCAACCAGAGTCAGCAGTCAGTATTAAGTAAATCATGATTTTTATGTGGAGTTAACAGAATTCCTTCTAAGTGGAGAAACTGGACGTTTGGTTAGTGTGGTCGGGCTTCTCACTCCTAAATATTTATAAGATTTCCCTCAGGTCCGAACTCTTCAGCATAGCTTGAGACCGCCGGCATCACTTCACAGGTCCTAGACACCCGGGATTTCAGGTGGGGAGGCCTCAGACTACTCCCACCCCTGCTATTACAAGGTGAAAATAAGGCCCGAAGAATTACAACGACTTGCCCAGGTTTGTCTGGCTTGAGATTAAGACCCTTCCTGCTTCCTAAATCCTATTCGTAGGTTTCTTCCACATTTCTTGAGACTGTATCTTATTTTGAGGTGTTGAAGCCAGAGAGCACTGCTGTTCTGGGGCAAAGCCATAACAGCAGCTGGCACTTCCCAATTAAATTCCAAATGCTTTCCACATATTAACACATTTAATCCTCACAACTCCTGTATAAAGTAGGAACTATCATTAACCCCACAGAGAAGCAAACCGAAAAGTAACTTGAGTGTGGTCACATAGCTGGTAAATGGCAGAGACAAGGCTGGGAAAACGTGAAGCAAAACAAAAGAAAATTTCCTCTGGTCCTGCAAACCAGCTCCCCACATCACTTCCTGAGACAGGTGGGAAGCATCTACTGAGCGCTGAGGAGCCTCCCCCGAGACAGATCAGGATCTAGTCAGGGGTCCGATGTGCAAATCAAGGGTTTTAATATATCATGATCGGTGCTACCATAGACATATGCCTGGGCTACCGTCTGGGCACAGGGGAGGCATCCCCAGCCTCTCCTGGCAGGATGGGGCAGGACAAGGCTTCCTGGAGAAGGTGACCCTGAGCTGATTCTTGAAGGGGAGGAGAGGGTGAGATGGATGGAGAAAGATGGGAGGGGGCTCTTCTGAGCGCGGAGCCAACAAGAGTAATGTTTTTAGGGAAACAAAATTCAAAGGCACTTCTGGAGAGTAAAGCGCTAGTGGGTGGCCATGTTAGTTTCCTGTGGCTGTTGTAACAAATTACCACAAACTGGGGGACTTAAAACAGTGGATATTTATTCTCTCACAGTTCTGGAGGCTGCACGTCTGAGATCAAGGTGCTGGCAGGGGCATGCTCTGGGCGCTCTGATTGAAAGTCAGCCCCACCCTCCCTCAGGGCTGCTGGTGGTTGCTCCCAGTCCTTCATGTTCCTTCGCTTCCAGCTGCATTCCATCTGCCTTTGTCGTCACGTGGCCTTCTTCCCTGTGTGTGTCTCTGTGTGTCTCTCCTCTTCTTCTAAGGACATCAGTCCTTGGATTTAGGGCCCACTATGATCTAGTATGACCTTATCATAATCAATTAATTTGCAAAGACCCTATTTCCAAATAAGATCACGCGTCTGAGGTGGACATGAATTTGAGGGGACAGTATTCACCCAGTAGAGCAGTGGAGACAAAAATAGAGGCTAGGATGATTGACAAGGGTACAAACTTGTACTGTGCATAGCGTTGACCTTTACTTTGTTAAAATTTTCCTTTTTCTCAAGTGTTCTGCTGCTGAATTTGCGGGGAATTCTCAAAGATGGGTGCATTGAGCAATGAATACTGTGTGTGTGGCTTCCAGCTGTGCATTTAGAGCTGGAAGGGGACATTCTGCTTGTGGCTCAACTGCATGTTAGTTTTACAACTTTATTTCGGACTTTCAAAAGCTTAATTGCCGTGGTTATCATCAGGGACTTTGTCGCTGCCCTGCCTGCCTCTCAGAGTTGTGAAGGGGCTCAAATAAAAGCTTCTTGGCTGTGAAGCTGTGTGATAAACTGTGAAGTGTGTGTGCAGTATTCTTTCATGGATAATTTTTTTTTTCTTTCTTTTTTTTTTTTCATGGATAATTTTTTATTCCTTGTGTGTTGGCTCCATTCTTTGGTCTCCACAGTGCAAGACTTCTATCATCCAGTTAGGGGCAGGCCTGTTGTTCTCATCTCGAAGAGCTGAAGAGCAATTAGGAAATCAATAAGCATGAGTTAGTATTTATTTATGTGTCTTAAGTAAGGAGTCAGAAAATAGCAGCTAGCTAAATGCAGCCACTGCCTGTTTTTTTAAGGTCTGCAAGCTAAGAATGGTTTTTACATTTTTAAATGTTTGGAAAAAAAAATCAAAAGAAGAATAATATATAGTGACATGAAAATTACATGAAATTCAAATTTTAATGTCCATAGATGAAGACTTATTGGAACATAGCCCTACTCAATCATTCACATATTGTTAGTGGCTCCTTTCACGCTACACAGCAGCGTTGAGTAGCTGCAAGAGAGACTCTGTCCCACAGAGCCTAACATGTTTTCCCTCTGGCCTGCACAGAAAACGTTTGCCGACCCGAGTGGACACTTTGGGAAAGGAGAAGGTGAGTGGTCGCTTCTCTGGCTGCGCATCTCCCTGCTCACAGGAGCGACCCCTTTAGGACATCCCAGACCCTAAAGCTGCCTTGTCTTTTGTTCCTTCCCAGAGTTTTATTTTTTTAGTGGCCAGCAGGTTGAAGGGTTTGTGGAATGGGAATTGTCGTTCCAAACCCCCGAACAAGAACATTGTTACTATTTTGCTCTGTTTCTTTCAGTACAGATAGTTTGTAATTTATGAGCAGGTTATGCTGTAAGAATGTGTTTGAAGCCTGTAACACATGGAAACAAGGGAGATGGTTTGTTTCTTATGCCATCTACACACCAACCTCAATTTACAATAACCAAAGCTCTTGAATTTTCTGGGGCAGCCCTGATTTAGAATATTCTTTCTGTCACTACAAATCAGTGATATGTCTGGAAAGTCTGATTTTTCCTTTCTAAACTGTACCCAAAAGTAGAATAAAAACTTGTTATGTAGAAACACAGATAATAATTTAAATGAAAAAACCCAGAACTCCTCATTAACACAAATGTGCAGTGTGGCACTTCAGCCATACATGACTTCCTGGGCCTGAGACGAGGTCTGAAGCTTGGGACTCTGGTTCTGAAACTTATTCATACTAAAATATATATCACAGTTATTACTTGCATCTAGAATCTGATCCAAGGAGAAGAAAGAAAGATTCTCTGAAAAGACAGCTATGAAAATATTCTTTTTGTTTTTAGCAGTAGAAGTAGTGTCAGGGGTCTTGGATGAACTGGAGCCCTTCCTGGTCTCGCTCCTCACTCTGTAACTCCATTTTTCTATTGTTGACATATCGCTGGATATATTCTCTTGTTAGCATGCTGTTTATGAAGCTTTCTTTATGTGTTGGGCCCTATACTAAATACTTGGTAGATATTTCCTTTGAACTTTGCAAATATAGGTAGGAATCTTTATTGCCTCTATTTAAATAAAGATATGAAGACTGAATCTTAGGTCAAGTATCTTATCCAGAGTTGCACACCTTGTAAGTGTTCCAGCCAAGATTCAAACACGGTACAGTTTGGCTCTAGAACCTGAGCTCCATATTACTATGAATTCTTTATTAATTCATTCATTTGCTTGAGAAATATTAATTGATTGCCTAGCCAGAGTCAGGTACTATATTGGTTGCTGAGAATTAAATGGTAAATGAAACAGATACAGTTTCTGTTGACAGTGTTTATAGGATAGTGGGGGAATGGATATCAATTTTAAAATACCATACAAATATATAGATGACAGAAACTATCGGAAAAGCATAGAATGGGGAAATCATGTCTTTGGGATCAGAGAATGCTTCCCTGAACAAGTGATGCTTGAGCTGTGTCTGAAAGATGAGTAAAGATTAACTAGTCAGAGAGGAGGGGAGACAGGAGAATTCCAGGCAGGGGGAACAGCATGCTCAAAGGCCCTGTAGTCAAAGAAATCACGGCACACCCAAGGAATACAAAGAAAGCCATTGTGGCTGGTGTTCAGAGGTAGAGGCAGGCAGTGATGTGAGATGCAGAGAATGGATTGATGGGAAGAAGAGTAGAGGCGAACTGTCGAGTATCAGGCTCTCAGTTGTCCACTGAGAGAACACAGCCTCAGATGAGGGTGATGACGCCAGTGAAAAGTGGGAAGCAAATAGATCTGAAGGATAATTAAGCAGGTGAAAATGGTGAACTGAGGGATGAGTGTGCAAGAGAAGGAGGTTTCCACACAACTTCCAGGTTTGGAACTTGCACAGCTGGGTCGTTGCTGCCCCCTCCTGCAGCCAAGATAACCTTCATCTTTAAGGCCATGCCCCAGAGAGCAGAAAGATCTAAGAAGTGGGAAAGGATGTGAGGAAAACTCTTTCTTCAGGTTGTTCCACATTGATCAAGGCTGAGAAGGACTAAAGTTGCATAAAGGTGAATTTGCCTCCAGCCCAGGGGTAGGGGCAGCAATGGGGAAGGGACGGGCAGACTTATGTCCTTAGAGCTTCTTCCCAGTCAAGCCTTCTACTCTTCTGATGGAGGGTGAGGCCAAGCCAGGGACTGGCCCAGGACGAGGACCCCACAGAGGCGTGGGCTAGAGGTGCCCTATGGATGTGTTGATGTCCAAAGCCAGTACAGTGTGTGGAGTGAGTTCAAGGCAGTCGCCAAGCGAGGGGCCTGGAGAGAGGACAGTACCAGCATCCTGGTACCCTGAGTTAAGCCAGCAGGAGGCTGTCTGGAGGGCTTCCTGACAGGGATGCCGAAGTTGGCAGTGGTTACATCACGTGCTTCTGGCGGGAGGATTCAGGTTGTTTAAAGGGCCGGAATAGCTCGGTTGTGGTCTTGTGACCTAGGTCTGGTGCCTTCCAGAGAGTCCATCCTGTTCTTCCTTAGATTAAAAGATAGAGATAGGAGGACCCAGATTGCACAGTTTCAGACTTTATGAGGGCAGGAGACTTACCTTATTCATTTTGTACCCTTAGTACTTCACACAGAGGGGTTCCACAAATGATGCTCATATTTTCATAATAGATATTGTCCTATTGTTTTTCTTTAGAACATTTATGATTAAAAATAGTTTTAATAAAAAATTATCACTTTTATAGGAAGTCTTACAGAGCATTACCATGAAATCATATTTTAGTTATATATATAACTATCAAAGTGCCTTTCTTAAAAGAATATTTTGTGAAATTGGGCTTGTTCAAGAAAATCTGAGGGTTGTGGACAATTTCCCTAAGAATCTCCACCAGCTTCTTGGTTCCGTGTGTTCACCTTCCAGAAGGAAAAACCAGAGGCGAGGGGAGGCTGGTGCTCAGAGGGCGTGCTCTTGGGATCCGCACCTGCGTGTTCTGACTCCATCTTCCCCCGGCCGGTCCTGCTCCCTCATCTGCTGCCCTCTCGCTGGCTGCCTCTCTTACTAACCGTTGCCTGCCTTCTCCTGTCTGCCCTGGAGGCTTGACCCTATTTTACCACAAATCAACTCTTTGTGCAGGAGTTGACGTGCAGCTAACAAGAGGTGATGTCTTTCCCAGATCCCACACCTCCAGCCATAAGAAAAAAGGAACGTGTCACTCAGGAAGTTCTTCTCTAGGACATTCTGGTGCTGCCCCAGGGGTGAAGAGACAGAGTATACCTATTGGATGATATTAGGACCTGGAGGAGTGTAGGTCAAATTCCTTAGCTTATGTCTTTCACTTTGCACACTAAATGGGCTCTTGAAATTGAATTGAAATATATTTTTGTTTAGGGTAGTTTGAATTAAAGAATTCTGGTGACCACAGACTGCAAAGAGCTGTCTATTCTGCGATCCTCACTCTCTCGCGTTAGCTCTGATATGTTCATCTGTTGGCTTTTCTTTTTGGGGCCCAGTGGGGGTGCACGGGAGGCCCTGGCCCAGTGGGTGCCACACAGCCCATGGCAGCTGGCTCTGCAGCTTTCTCTTCCTTTCTGCCGCGTTCCCTCTTTACAAGTGTCTGTATCTCAAGCATCTCTTTCATGTGTCAATGTTTTCTTCCCTGATAGATTTCCTTGGTTAACATGCTAGAATCTCAGGAAACTTGTTTGCTTTTCTCTTAAATCCCAACTCCTTCCTGAAAAATGTTATCACTCACTTTTAATCAGATTTCTTTCCTTATATGTCTGGGTCCGTTTATCTTCATCTGTTCTCTGGCTGCAGAGAGGGGTGGGGGGAGACCTTGCCTCCCTTCCTTCGTCTGTCCTACATCACACAGTGAGTCTGTACTCTCATACAGCTACATCATAAATCATGCTGCTGTCTTCCCATAGGTGACCCCACGTGCCCATTCTGTTTCTCCTTAGCAACCTCTGGGCATTCCTCATGCTCAGAATCTTATTCTTGCAGAACAAAGAAGTCTGTTTCGTTCACTGCATTCTGGCTTGTGACTGTTTGGCTTTGTTTAGGTTGATGTGTTCTTTCACGAATATATATATGTTTTTTTCCTTCTTGCCTTAGAGCCAGCCAAGGGTTGTGACATTAGAATACAAGATACATTTATAACTTCACGTGACCTGGATTTGGTGCAGGTAATGCTGAGACAATGACAAATGTCTCCTGATAAACACCAGAAAGGCTTGCAAAAATACATTGGGAAAATAGGGATCGTGCACTGAGTTCGATTAATTCACAGTAAAATGTCTTTTTGGACTTGGATCCAGCAAACCTGTCCTACACACCTGCGCTGTGTCACAGATGGCGCTGGGAGCTCTGCATGTAGGATCTTAGGTAATTCGCAGAATATTTCATCATGTGAGCCCATTTTACAAATGAGATAACGAAGGCTCAGAGGGCAGTGGAAGCACACGTAGGATCAAAACTGAGGTCATCTAATTCCCTACCTCTTTCACCCCACCACCTCCCTGTGGCAGGCTTTGATGCATTGCGTTTGTTTATTTGTAAGAACACACTTTCACTCCTGGCTCAGCCATTTCACATGTCGGTGACATTAGTAGAGTTAGGTTCCCATAGCACTTTCTCTGTGGAAGTGACTCAAGGAATTCTTCCTCTCAGAGCCAGCGGGGGGCTGGGGCAATATTTATTGGGTCATCCTAATCGTGTTCTTTTTGTCCCAGGTCCCTACTGAGGGTTGATGGCCTTACAGACCTATTGGCAATCTGAGGGCCAGATGCTGAGGCGCCGTCTGATTCAGTGTGACATAAAGGAACTGTCACAGCCTTTGGGACCTGCTCTGGGATTGAAACTGGCTTCCAGCTCCTGCTAGCTGGGTGACCTTGGTCAAGTTTCTTAATTTTTCTAAGACTTAGTTTCATCATCTGAAAAATGGTGCAACAACCCATATGTTCCTGGACTACTGTGAAGAATAAATGCGACTGTGTAAACAGAAAGTAGGGGGCACAGGGCCTGGTGAGGGATGGGTGCTCAACGCCTGTTTCTTCTTTCTCTTGTTTCATGGACCCGATGATGCTATGGTGACCTCTTGGTCCATATATAGATGCTAATGGACCTCTTTCTGATGTTATATTTGACAGGGGGAAAATGCATAGCAGACTGATTAGAATGAGTTAGTGGGGAAGCTCAGTGGTCTGTATTCCAGGACTAAATGCTACTGAGAGATATGTTTTCTGTAGAAGCCCTAAGTAATTGTCGAGGGACTAGAAAAACAGAGAAAATATTACAGTGCTCAATAACATTCTTGTTTTAAAGAACCTAAACTAATACAAAGAGTGAACAATATGGTGTTGGCATTAGCACATCGAAGCTTTGCTTGAAGGAACACGTCCGTCTTGTCATTACTTGGCTGTTATCCAATCTCAATATTTAAGTCTAGCTCGAAGCGAGTGAGGGATTTGGAACAGCTCTGGGTGACAGCAGGCACACCCCTCAGCCGCGTGCACGGTGCAGCTGGTTGTGTTCCCCTCCCTTCTGCTCACGGGAGGCGGCGTTCAGCCACCGCACAGTGACTTTCACACTTATTAAAAATGCGGCCGTTTCTGCGTGTCATTCTTAAAGCCCCATCAAAACTCTCTAAGGAAGCATATGGGAGTGAACCTGGTCTGGGGCCATTGCCTGCTTGCAACAAGAGCTGTTCCTTTTGATCTGTGACATTGAATAACCAAATAGTCCTGTAATCATGTATAATTCATCTGATAGCTTTGTCTTTTTGCCAACCATAGTTAAAAGAAAAATTGTGTAGAAAAGGAGATTATTTTTATTGTGAATTCCTGAGGGAAAAAGGCATTTTTCTTCAAGAGTTATTAACTTGGTTTTACAGCTGACCTTTAACAGAATGTCTCTGACTTCAGATACTCAACAACTCAGCAAATATTATCCTCCATATAATTGAAGTAGTCATTATCATTTGAGCCATAAGCACTGAATATGTATCAGAAGACACAATGTTGTTTTTTTTTTAATTTTTGAGATTTTATTGTAAAAGAAAAAAATCTTGTTTCATTGGTGCATTGAGTGATGTTTGACCTTTTCATATTGAATTTTCTCTTCACATTTCAGCTATACATAATCCTAGAAGGTCCCTGGTTGGTGTTAGCAACCCCAGAATGAGTGGTCATGATATCATATCCTAGAGTCGACAAATCAGTTTGTTTGATCTCTCATTATGCATTGTATCCATTGTTGTAATGGGGGATGGAAAAATTCAAGATACAGTTAGGACCTGAAATTTCCCGAACACGAAAGCGTCTTTAATATGTCTCTCCTGCCCATCCCTTTCTTCATACAGACCTTGCATTTTTATATTTTTCTAATGTGCTTCGTGACGTACTGTCTTGATCAGCAGTTCTCTGCTTTCATAGCTAATGATGCAAGAAGGCAAGAAAGAGAGGGAAGGGGGAAAGAAAGAGAAAAACAAATAGAGTGCTATCAAGGCTAAAGTTAAATCGTAACCAAAGAATGTCTGAGCTTGGAAGGGATTTTAAGGCTTCTCAGTGCAAGTCTTGTGGCCTAGAAATAAAAACCTGTAGTCCAGAAAACCTCTAGTCCTGTCTGCATTTCACTTGGATTTCAAGAAAGACTGAGAGATCTTGGACGAGTCGCTGAATGTTCCCTGATTGTTTCCTCCTTGAGACTGAATGATCGCTTGTTGCTTTCCAATTTTAATAAAATGTGATTTAAATATTCTCTGGAAACCAATGTGATTCATAAATAAGCTGGATCAGTGGGTTGTTTATAACTTCAAATGTTTCTTTTATTTTCTAATGCAATAATTTGTTCGTCCATGTAATCCGTTAGAAAGTGTTTCGTGCCTATTGCAGACATAGTGTAAGTGGTGAGCAAAGCCAGACCCAGATTTGGTTGCTGCCCTCAGCTGAAAATGGCAACTCTGACAAGCGCTGTAGCTGAGTGGGTATGGCGCTGAGAGAGGTGGTTCAGGGAGAGGACCTGTCTGGGGACTGAAGGAAGGTTTCTCTGAGCAGTGATTCCTGAGTGGCGTCTGAAGGGTGCAGAGGCATTGACTGGGTAAAGAAGTAAGGGAAGATAATTCCAGGCAGAGGGAACAGCATTTCCCTCATGAACTCCTGCAACCAATCTGCGCCAGCTGACTGGAGGATGAGAGAGCAGGTGGAAGGAGGTGTGGGCATCCCAATGGAGGCCATCGTAAACCTCATCACAGCCAGCGCCTGCCAACCAAACAGCTGGCTGCAAATGTGGAGAGGAGTCCCTGGCTCCGACCCGGAGAACCACTCAGCCGAGCCTTGCCCCAGTCGCTGACCTGCTGAGTCACGGACTAGGCTGTAAATCGCTGCGATTTTAAACCCTGCGGTTTTGGCGTGGTTTGTTACCCAGCAGCAGGTGCAGAAGCTGCACTTGGAAGAGGGCCCGTTCATCTGAGACATGTTAACTTGGAGGAGCAATTGGGACATTTAGGAGGTGACGTCAAACAGGAGTGTGTTGTGTAGGGAAACTTAGCTGATTACTGTCAAAGTAGTGATAGCAGATAAAATCAGCTAAAAAGCAAAAATTTTGTGCATTTTACTACTGTATATGCAATAAAACAATACTGAATGGTCCATTTTTGTTCCTGTGCTTTCTTTCGTTCTGGCACATAGTGTTGAAGGAAGGGGTTTTGATGACCTCAGAGACAGGATAAACCAGTTCTCTGGCCGGAAGTGGCCAATGTGGCCTGGCCGTTCTGGCTCCGGACACAATCCCACGGTAAGGAACGTGCTGCCTGGAGTCCTCTTTCCGAGCCTTCGCTCCCTCTCAGGGCCACTGTGCTTGACTTGCAGATACTCTCTTCACCTCTCCTCCAAAACCCTGGCTTGGGAAATGATCTTATAAGCTCATTCATACTAGGGTGCAAATGACTGATTAATCTAAGTCTTCTATTTTGCCCAGAACACTAAATCTTTTTTTTTTAATTGAGGTATAATTGACATTCAACATTATATCAGTTTCAGGTATGCAATATAATTATTTGGTACTTGTGTATATTGCAAAGTGATCACCATAGTAAGTCTAGTTAATACCTGTCACCATACACAGTTATAGATTTTTTTTCTTGTGATGAGAACTTTTAAGATCTCCTCTCTTAGCAACTTTCACATATGCAATACTTTATTATTAACTATAGTTGCCATGCTGTACATACATCCCCAGGACTTATTTATTCATAACGGGAAGTTTGTACCTTTTGACTCCCTTCACCCATTTCACTCACCCCCTCCCCCACCTCTGGCAACCACCAATCTGTTCTCTTTATTTATGAGGCCGGTTTGTTTGTTTGTTTGCTGTTTTAGATTCCACATAGAAGTGAGATCATACAATATTTCTCTTTCTCTGTCTGTCTTATTTCACTAAGCATAATGCCCTCAAGGTCCAAATGTGTTGTCACAAATGGCAAGATTTCATTCTTTTTTATGGCTGAATAAGATTCCATTATATATTCTATATATATACACACACATACCATATATATCCCACTGAATCTTAAACATGAAGAAATCTCTCTATTCTGGGAAATGGAATTGTATGAGTGTAGGGAAGATGTTTTAATGTGCCACTCACTGGGATGACTGTCCTGCAACTTGCTTTTATATATTAAAAATAGAGCTCTATGGTCATAGAATTGTGGACTTTTGAGTGTTTTCAGTCTAAAATAATCACATCTCGGGGGACTTATCTTTTCTCCTCACGAAAACCTGCTTCCCCTCCTACGTGTCCTTTTATGATTTAATAATACCAAACTTCTTCCATTTTCTCAGGCTGAAAACTATTGAATTCAGCCCCACTCGCCTGCCATGTCCAGACCCTGTGCTTCTGCCCTGTCTGACCCCGTTCACCTCATCTCTGTCCCCTCCTGCTGCTTCAGAATGAGATCAAGCCTTCATCAACTCCTATTTGGCTTGATGCCTCTGCCTCCTGACCTAACTCTTGCTCTGAGTCTGTCTTTTCTCCTATCCAGCCTAGAAATTTTGTCACCAGAATTGCCTTTCTTATGTCTAGATCTGATTTTCTCCCCACACTCTTTATACAGCCTTGATGATGCATTTTCTTGTACGATAAAACCTAACCTTCTTGACAGAGCACCCGTGGTCCCTTCTGTGGGCTGTCTAACTAGGGCTTGCCTCACTTGTCAGTGCTGTTTGAAATTGGGTAGGAATGGCAGGATGCCAAGGGCAGTGACTGGCCAAAGGATTTCTGTCTCCTTCTTTCTCAGCCAGATGTGGTGTCCATAGTTTTATGCCCCTGTATGAAGATGCAATTCTTGAACAGTACAAGGGGACCTACATCCAGGGTGGGTGTTGCTCAGTCATTCATTGGAGGGTCACTTGTGTGTTACAGCTGAGCAGTCTGGGCGAGGACACCAAGGAGGGTGCTGGAAGTGGGGAGAGGGCTCTGACGCCACGTATTCTCTTACTTAGGATGGATATGGTGGGTCCTTGGATACATCTGGTCACATTTCTTTTACCTTCTTTGGAAAACTGACAAGCAGAGTGTCCCTGGTATTTTATAGAAACAAAAGGAATTGAGCATGATGACTAAACCAGCTGGGGACCTGCCGATGGGGCATGCTCCTTCTCGCTCCACCTCCTGGCTCCCAGTCTTGAGCGGGCTTGCCATATATCTCTGCTGGGTAGGGACCAAGAATCTTTGGAGTATCTGAAGTAAGAACCTGAGACGGCAGGCACAATCTGTGAATCTGTCCCCTGCTTCCCAAGAGAAAGAAACATCTTAACATTTGTATCTGGGAGCCTTAGGCTCCAGGCAGGGGATTTTCTCCAAGGGGTCCCTGAACGAGCTTCATTATCCCATCCCAGTCAGCCTTCAAGGCTCAGCTCCCAGCATTCAGGCGGGCGGACCATAAGATCATGTCAAATCAGACACTCCTCATTCCCGGAAGCATTCACCATTAGCTTTGTTTAGTTTTTTAAAAAACCGTTCACCCCCCCAGAAATGAATGGCTGTTCTCCCTTTTCTTTGCCATGAGAAGCCCATTCCTCATTCATGGCCCAGCTCCAATAGCACCCGCACGATGAAGACCACCACCATCCGTGATCCCCTCAGCATTTTGTTTTATGGTATATACAAGTGTGTTTCCTGTATGCCTGGGGCTTCCCTCTCTGCGTGATCAGGTCCAGAAGGCGAGGGTTGTCTTAGTCCTTTTACATAGAAGGTACTTAGTACATGTGGGGCGAATGAATGACTGAGAGAATAGTGCTGGGGTTTTCGCCAGACCACTGTCAGCGTAGAACGTCATTACTTTGAGAGCAGACTTCTTGGCTCTCAGGAAATGCTTAGTGGGCAACCTCAGCCAGGGTGACCTCGAATCAGCTGTCTGGGGCTCCTGCCCGCCATCATGGGGCCATTAGGAAGTGATCAGGAGGAAGCTCCCGTTCAGCTGTCACTGCGCCTTGCTGCTTTCAGGTGTTAACCGAAACGACCCAATTAAGCAAGTGTTTTAAAGCGCTGGATTCTTGTTGAGCAGAGAAAAAGCTCAATTATTCAAAGCCTTCTTTCAAAGAAGCATACCTTTGGCAGACACAGAAACCAGGTTACTTTTTTGTCAAACAGAAATATCTTTATTATTTCCCTTTCTGATTATAAAATGATATACAATGACTTTTCTTTTCTACATTGTTTTATTTATTTATTTCAGTTGAAAATGAAAATCTCACCTCAGAGAGATATCACTGTTAACAGTATGGTACAGATCTTTTCAGGTTTCTTTACTTTGATATATCTACAAAGATATTTCTATTATATATTTAGTGTTTTGATAGTTGCATTCTCTCTGTATGTATATATGCATTTCTGTCTCACATGTGTATATATACATACATAACATTTATAATTAACCTATATATACTTATATATGAGCTGTATGTAAACCATATATATTTACATATATATTTACAGACACTTTTGGCAGAAATGGGGTCATGCTATGAATAATGTTCTGTGTCCTGCTTTAATGTAATAAAATAGTTCAGTAAAATTCTTATTTTGGCACTTAACAGATATATCTTATCACTTTTAATACTTTATCTTTTTAACATTATATTGAAAAATATTCTGGAATTTAACCTCTTATTAATGGAAATTGATGTTGTTTCAATTTTTTCACTGTATTGTTATCCACTTGCTAGTGGCGTCACTGTGTTCAAGTCTGTGCACGTTGGACAACCTTTTGATATGTGTGGCCATTTGGCCGTCCAGGAAGAGCTGCTGCTTTACAGTCCTGCTATCAGTGGATGAAAGTGTCCACTTCGGCTCATCCTCACAAATAGGAGATATTGTTAATCTTTTTAACCTTTGCTAATTTGGAAGGTAAAGTGAGATTTCATTATTTAGTTGATACAGCTGTAATAACCATCGAGGTTATCATGTTCTGTGATTACATCCATCTTTTCTAAATTTTCACAACTTTGTCCAAATTTTATATTAAGTCATTCATCCTTTAATTACTGACTTTTATACTTTGCTCTTTGTTTCCCCGCTTAGTTCGTGAAATTGTCTTCAAACTTTGAGGGATGCATGTGTGTATGTGTGTGTGCATGCATTTCTCAAAGGCCAGAGCTGTTCAAATGAGATTTTGCTAAAGGAGATAAAACCAAAAACCAGCTGAAATAGATTCTGCCAGAATGTATGCAGCAGCTTAGAGAGAGGAAATGAAAATTGAGGGGAGCAGCTTGAATCTGAGGTCCCTGTGAGTCGGCTACCACATTTCTGTTCCCGATTCTCATTCCTTTAACATTTGCCCCCGTCTCTTTATTTTATTTGCACAGGAGTTACTGCATGATTTTTTAACTGGGGGGCCATGAACTTCCAAGGGATCTGTGGGTAGAATTCTAGAGATCTGTGAACTTGGGAAAAAATTACAGCTTTATGTGCACTAACATCATAAAATTTAATATTTCTTTCAATTATAAATGTCAGCAACAAATCGTAGTAATATTTGCAGTTCTTGATATCTGACACTAATAAAAACCACCAAGATTTTAAAATCACTTTACTGTTCTTGAAGATATCTTGCATTATCACTTATGCTCATCACTACTATGAAATGAAACTAGTCTTGTTATTTTGTAAGGAAGCATATATGTTACTCTATCTTTTTATCAAAAAAAAACATTGAATATTTTGATCATTGCATTTTGCTACAATTGGATTCTTTTGTAATCCCCTGCGTTTTGCGTTATGCATTTGAAAGCATTATTTTGAAAAGGGTCCCTAGGCTTCATGAGACCACCAAAGACATCTAAGGCACAGATAGATTAAGCATCCCTGAGCTGGAGAGAGTGTGGAAATTACTAGAAGATTCGAGTCTGGGCTCCTTCCTCTCCCCGATGCCTCTGTTGCCTGCACCCTGCTCGCTCTCTGGGATACCTGTAGTAGGCCCCTTTTCAAATGTTATATCAAATATATTAACATCCACCCACATTCCACATTAAGTACATTTTTGTTATAAAAATTTGAAAGAATTATAATACTTTTATTTTTAAAATTACTTGGCTAGGAGAAACTAATTTAATGTACAACCCACTGTGATTTCTAGACAACAATTGTGCTTACTCAGGGGTTCTTGCAACGTGGGGAAATCTAACATACAAATTGTTCTCTAAATCTAATGAAATTTTTATGAGCACTAAATTTAACAATTAATGAAGTTGACATGATATGTTTTATGTACATTTAATTAAGCATTCAGTAATAGCAATTTTGCAGTTTTCTTTTCCTATTTTGGAGCCAATTTTGTATGTGTGTCTCTGTTTTGTAGGTCCTGGAAAGCACCTAGGCCTGGAGGCCTGGGCCCTCCTGCCAATTGGAGTACTGTACTGTCAGGGGCAAATTCCCAGCCTTTGTACTCAGTCACACATCTGCATGTGGAGGGCACTCTCCTGCCACCACCTAAAGGAGCAGACGCTGCTGGCT